TTTCCTCAAAAATAATTTTTTTTTATTTTTTATTTTTTGAAATAATAGCATAACTGAAATATTTTTACTTAAATTATCTTTTAATTATTAACCAACATATCCTTAATGAATATAAATAAATCAAATGAATACTAAAACTAAAAACAAAATAGGATAGAAAATGGAATACCAAAATTTGAGTTAAGATCATAATCAAAGTGAGTCTAAGCCCATTTGAGAAGGAATTCTGGGCCTAAATGGATCGCTGAGTGGGTTGGTTCAATTGAAGCTCAAACCGGATCTAAGCTTTGAATGGGTCAACCTGTCCCTCTTCTTCTGCTTTATCCTTTTTCTCTGCCAATCCTTTCTTTCTCTTTACAAGTGGGCAAAACCCCAGAAACTGGTTGCCACTATTTCTCGTTGTCGCCAGCAGTCGGAGACCGTTGTCTACTAGAAGCGCAAAATCCAATCGATGTTCGCTGCCACCTTCACCAGTCGTCGCCACGGCAAAGACCACCTCTGCCGCTGCCTGAAAATAACTTGATCACTATCAAAATAGCCAAGGAACTTCCCTTCTCCCTAGCTTTTGCATTCTACCTCTGTTTGCTGAATGTGTCTATTCTGGGTTTCGTAGGTTTCGGGTATGGGTTTGATTCAACTTCATTGATTTTGTCTCTTCAAAACGGTGCATTTTAGCTTCAAAATCAAAGTTTCCCTTTGCTTTCCAAGTTTCTTTCTTTATTCAACGTTTTTCTCTTCTCTCTAGTTTAAAGATTTCCTCAAAACCCCAAGGACTCAAGAACATAGTGCCGGCCAGTAAGGGCTGTTGCCACCGTCGCTCGTCGGTGCTGAACTTTTTCCCTCGATTTCTCTCTAAAAGGTTGCCAGAAACTATGATGCCATTCCAGAACTCAACGTACCTCTAGCATCGCAACCACTATTGATGACCACCAATCACCACCATCAGTCGTCCACCATTTTCGAAGTCCGCCCCGAGCTACTTCTCAACATGCCGTTTGATCTCTCAGTTTTTTCCATCGATGGGTTTTTGAAGTACTTTAGATTTCACACGATGCTTCCCTGTTTGAATGTTGCTGCGTAATTGAATATTACTTGACACTGTTTTTCTTCCTCGTTGATGGTAATGGGTGGCCTAAATGAGGGATGGCAGAGATCAGTGAACTGTTTCTAGCCACAAGGTAATGGTGTGGTAAGCATTCGATGGTGAAGGATGAATTCAAGTTTGGGTGGTTTGGGCAAATTATATTCTGTTAATGAATCTAGATTAATTGCTTTATGATTTCTTTGTGTTGGTGTATGCTTCTTTGATCACTTTCCCCTTGTCACCATGAATTGCAATGATATATAAAATCATGTTGATAGAGTTTTCAATTCAATTCTAATTAACATCCAAAACTAACGATTAGCATCTAATTATGTCTTTTTGATAACAATCATCATTGAACTTAATCTCAATCTTTCAATTTTTTTTTTAATTAATCAGATAATAAAAAAAAAAAAGAAAATAAACAATAGATAGACCATAAAATAAAATAAAAAAAATTATAAATACGAAATAAAAATATGAAATAAAAATGAATAAAAATCTCTACAATCAAATTTAGACTGATCTCAATTGACAAAGAATTTCGGATAAAATAAGATGTCTAAAACTATAATTAGAGAAATGCTATCCTATCATCATTGGTCAACATTACTATAATGCCTCTCCTACCATGTTAAAAGTTTTTTCTTAAAAAATAAAGTTGAATGGGTGATGATATTGGTAGGCTTTGATTTCATGGGTAAATAAATTTGAATTTGATCATTAATCAATGTTAGTAATAGATAACTATTATATTGGTAGGTTGGATTATCATTTATGTATTATCTAGTTTTGATTTAATTTATATAATTTTTTAAAGTTATCTCCCTTATTTAAAATAGAAAGACACCTATCCAATTATAATTAAATGACACAATTTGAGCATAAGCATTTTTATTTTTTTAAAAGATTATATTTTTCAAAAAATTAAAAACAACAACAAAATACTAAAAATAATTATTTTTTATTATTAAATAAAAAATTATATAATTTTTTTATTTCATCAAAATAAAAAAATTTGAAACCCGGCATAGCCAGGTAGTTTTTCTAATAAGAATTAAATTGAAAAAAAAAAAAACTAAGAAAAATATTTTTGTGTACAATTTATATGTCTGAAATATGCGTACGAAGCGTTATTGATGGTTTATGTTGCTAAAGTTACTAAAATTTAAATATAATGTTCAAATAAGCTCATTTAACTTTTAAAAAAATTTCTTTGATCTTTTAATTTAAAGAATTAAAACTGAGAAGTTTTATTTCATTCTAATTATATCCATTAACTTTAGAAATTCGTGAATAAGTTATAATTGTTAAAATTATTAAAATAACATTCTCACAAATATTTATTACCAACAAGATTTTAATGAAATATAAAATATTTCATAACATAAAAAATCTAAATAATTCAAATAAAAGTTTATAATCTTAATAAAAATTTGATGGATATTTCTATTTTGTAATAAAATTCGGTAAAACATAATATTCAAGTCATTGAGTATTCTTTTTCCTTTGGTACAATTGAGTTTTTTTTTTTTTATTGATTACAAGTAACTGAGATTTCGCAACTTTGCTTAACCCTTTGAGATTCACTGATTTTAGACAAAAATATTATACATTCAACTGCTTGTGCTGGATGTTACATTTTATAAATATATATATTAAAGTCAATACTAGTTGGTTTTGGACATATTAATTATGGCAGTCAAATTTAATCTAGATTCCTCAAATATTATTGACTATATATATGTGTGTGTACATTCTGCCATCACTTTTGACAATTTCAAGTCTACTATAATGGCGTGTAGAAAAAAATGGCCAATATTGTGAAAATCACAGCCAAGAAATCATTAAGCCAAACTTGTTGAACTCCTCCTAATCTTCCATGTTCAGGCTCTGATTTTCTCAGCCAACTTGCTAACAATCACATATATATATATATATATATATATATATTTTATATTGCTTGTCAAATATCAAATTTCACTATTGGGAAATGAAATAATATCCGTCCTACTAAAACACAAATTAGTCAATTAGTCAATGTCATAATCAACTATTAGATAAGATAATGTCTATTGCTATTGCACCAATGCAAATGAGTCAATTAGTCAATGTCGTAATTAACTATTAGATAAAGATAATGTCTTTGTATATTGCACCACCGCCTAATTTTAATGCATGGTTGCAAACAGGGATGTTTATTTAATCAGTTTGATTATTTCAAATTGAATTATTTGAAATTAAATTAATTAAATTAAATTATTTTATTTTTATTAATTGATTTGAATTTATGAATATATTTAAGTTAATTATATTTTTAATTTTTAATTTTTCATATTTTAAACAAATTAAATAAAATTATTTAACAAAATATTCAAATACTAAAGTATTATGTTAAAATTTTTAACATGAAATTAAATGATCCATTTCGTGTATTTTTTATTTTATATTTAAGTTATATTATATTTTTATTAAAATTTTGGTTAATTCGATTAATTCAGTTTTTGAACCGAATTAACTGAAAATCAAAATTCTTTTAAAATTATTTTCATTAACCGACCAAAATTAATTCGGTGGCTGATCGATTAATCGAATTAAATTAGTTAAATTGATTAATTCAACTAAAACTGAATTATGAACCCCAAGATACGAATAGACTGCTTATTATAATTACATCAAAAAGTTGTATTTTCATTAAAATTTTGGTTAATTCGATTAATTCAGTTTTTGAACCGAATTAACTGAAAATCAAAATTCTTTTAAAATTATTTTCATTAACCGACCAAAATTAATTCGGTGGCTGATCGATTAATCGAATTAAATTAGTTAAATTGATTAATTCAGCTAAAACTGAATTATGAACACTCCAAGATACGAATAGACTGCTTATTATAATTACATCAAAAAGCTGTATTTATGTAATATTTTGTAATATTATGTAATTAAGTAATTAAACATAAGATTAGAAATTATGATATTAACACTATATCAAATGTTGCAGAAATAATGCTAGTACGCTCTAATATGTGGAAATATGACCGATTGAGAAGTCAATAAATGGTAGGTTGTTAAACACTCTGTTATGAAGCAAACTTTGGTCAATGCATCAATTTTTCATAATTATCTTATTGGAATTCCATAATTATTAATTGTTAAATTGCTTGGCAATGAATTTAATTGATAAACAAGTTTGCTGATGATGAAATTGTATGAAACAGGGGTTTTTTTTCCTTAATTTCAAAGTTTGCAAGTAAAATCTTTTCATAAGAAAATTTTTATGGTAGTTATTATTCACTCTGGCTTGGATTATTGGTTAATGTAATTATTTTTCATCATATCTATCGTTAAGAATAGCTTTTGAAAATTTAAACATAACGTTGGATTTAAGATTTAATTTAATTAATCATGCACTTTACGAAGTAATATTTAATAAATTTAAAGTTTCAACAACTATAATTTTTTTTTTAAAATTTTTAAACCTACAACTTTCTTTATAAAAAAATCTAAACATTGATCAATATAAGGTTACAAAAAATTAAAAATTTATTAGATGTGAGATAATACATTTTAATAAGTTCTCATCATGTATAGACGAAGATAAAAAAAACTTTTCATGTGATAATTTAAAAAAAGGTAACAAAAGAAAGGGCAACGAAAAGAAAGTTTAGATTCTAATAGCATATTAAGCATCAAATTTAAAATTAATTAACTGTTAGTAAAAAGCGTAATTTGAATATAAAATTATAAAAAATTAAAAATTTATTAGATATGAAATAATTAATTTGAAGTGACGTAACGCTAAATCAGCCTTACGTAGACTAAGCAGACAACATGGTTGACTTTATGTGGAAGTTTAAGAGCGAAACTCCAAATCGGAACAGGATTTATCACCATTACCATATTACATCCTCTAAATAAATACAGATTCGAACAGACCAACAAGAACTAAGCCAGGGGTGATCAAAATGAAGGTCGATATTACCTCTCGACAGACCATTAAGCCATCCTTTCCAACACCTAATCACCATAGAAACTTCAGGCTCTCCCTTTTGGATCAGCTTTCTCCAACCTTTTATGGCCTTATAGTCTTCTTTTATGCTGCTAGCCCTAGCACTCACCTCCAAAATGGGGACTGCAGGTACAAAAGCAGTGAGAGATCTTGTATCCTCAAGAGTTCACTCTCGAAGGCACTTACTCATTTCTATCCAATGGCAGGACGGCTCAAAGATGCAGCCTCCATCGATTGCAACGATGAAGGTGCTTATTTTGTCGAAGGTCGTATTGACTGCAAACTTTCAGACTTTCTCAAACAACCTGACATGGAAGCATTGAATGGTTTTCTTCCTACCACTGATCCTGAGACATCAGAAGCAGCTTCAGGTTGCATTCTGCTTGTTCAGCTGACAACATTTGATTGTGGAGGGACAGCTCTCAGCATCTGTCTATTGCACAAGATCACTGATGTTTCCTCACTGGTTACATTCCTCCAAAGCTGGACAGCAATCTCTCGTGACTCTGGCGAAGCAGTACTGTCTCCTGAATTCGTTGGAGCATCTTTGCTTCCACCAAGAGACCTATCTTTCTTGCCCCCAGTAAATATCCCCTCCGGTAATTTTATAACAAAGAGGTTCGTGTTTGAAGGATCAAAAATTGCTAGACTCAAGGTCAAAGCTGCTGGCCTATTTGTCCCATCTCGTGTGGAAGTGGTCTTAGCACTCATCGTAAAGTGTTCTGTTGTAGCTTCTCGGGCCAAATCAGGGTCAGCAAGGCCAGTCGTTTTGTTCCAAGCAGTGAACCTGCGCAAGAGAATGGTCCCGCCGCTGCCTGAAAACTCCATAGGAAATCTCATTTGGCCAATGCCAGTGTTTATTGGAGACGATGAGATGGAGTTAAACAAGTTGGTGAGTGTGATGAGAAGAGGGATGACAGAATTTTGCAAAGAAAAGGCAAATAAATTCAAAGGTGATGAGGGATTTTTATTAATTACTGAGTCTCTCAAGGAGAGGAGAGAACTCTGCAAGGATGCAGCACTATACAGGTGCACAAGTTGGTGTAGATTCCCATTATATGAAATGGATTATGGATGGGGGAGGCCTGTATGGGTGAGTAGTGTAAGCCTATCATTGAGAAACACTGTTGTTTTGGTAGACACCAAACAAGGGGATGGAATTGAAGCTTGGGTGACTCTGGACGAACAAGAAATGTCTATATTTGAACGTGATAAGGAGCTCATTGGATCGGCTCTCGTGAACCCTAGCATCTTCATCTAGTTTCATCATCAAAAGCCAAGTGATTGTCCTTTTCTGAGCATTGAATTGTGGTCCATATTTGAAAGTGAGAACTGCTGTACTTTCTTTGCTATGGTAAACCTGCTTATCTTATGGTTGGTACGACAGCAACATAACTTTGTTTAGCGTGATGTAAACTCTAGGTATATATTTCTATGGTCGGGAGATCAACTACTTGTATTATTATTGCTATTTCTAGATAGATATAGCATTCATATATTCATGACTGTTTATTTTATGAATAATACATATAAAATATGATTATCAAATTAATATTCATGTGGACAAATCAAATATAAAACGTAATTTTTTTTTATTTTGATAAACTTATATTTTTATTAAAATTTTAAACTATATCACTTTTATTTTATTCGTATAATGTTATCATATCATGTTTAAAATTATTAGTTTATTTTTAGGTTATCATGTATTTACTGTTTTGAAGACATTGAAAGCGTAAGGTTGAAAGAAAAATTTTTTTTTCCAGTATTAAGTTATCTCCTCTGCTCATTGTTCTATTCTAGTTTGTCCCCTGTTTCTGCAGGAAAGAGTAACACCTACTTGCAACTTTTATTTACTGTTTTTGTCCATGACATTTCTCAGAACCGGTTGAAAATTACCAATCAAGTTCAAAATTTTGACTATAAGTGAATAGAAGTGTGCGCTTTTAATGGGTTCATAGCCTGTTTATGAGTTTGTTTGCTAGCTAAAATACTTTCGAGCTTGAATCTGAACTGAGTTCTAACCACTTACCAAACCCTTTGGAAGCTGAAGTGGGTCGATCACAATTGCGAAGAGAAGCTAGACTGCGGAAGAAGGGAGTGAAGAAGACGAAAGAAAGTCAGTTGAAGGAGCCGAACTAATCATATTTGTGGGGACAGGAGAATTTTGGAAGTCGGAATGTATCGCCGTTAAGAGTTCATCCATTTCATGAAGGATCCTCATACTCTTAGCTCGGACATTTTCTTCAATTTGTTTTTTTGCCTACCGCTAGGGATGCTTAACGCCACTTCGCCAATTGGCGTTACCTGCGCTTTCGTGTCTCTCAGTGTGGTCAGCACTGGGTGTTTCCGAGCAGCGAGGCTTACACCCATTCGCATTAGTTCATCCAAAGTTCCTTACCCTTATGCACGAATTATTGAATAAGCCATCTTCCTATCAAGGTTAAGGAGTAGCGCGCGCGCTCGCACTTAGCGCAATTACGCGCTTCTCTCGTTATGTTATGCAAGCCAGCTTTCTCAAGGAGGAGACATGATTTAGCATTAATTACATCTCGAAGAAGACCTCCTAAGCGTTGGACGCAATAAGCAACTCATCTATAATCTCTTCCTATGAAGAGACTTCATCATCTTAAGTAACCTCTATCCTATTCTAGCCGAGCTGATCTTTCCTAAACCTTACTTGGTGCATCAAAATGTTTGGGGCGAGCTGTCTTGACGAGAATAAAAGCTTGAAATCACAAATTTGAAGGTCGGTTAAAAGTGAAGATGGAAGGTTAATTTCTCTGTCATTTTTGTTTCAATGCTTAAATCAGTGCTTAGTAAGTGAAAGAAAAAGAAAAGTCATAAGAAAAGAGAAAAGGAAATTGAATGAATGTACTAGATATGAGGGGTTATTTATACCTATAGGATGAGAGTGTTGGGTATGGGTGACCCAAGCTTTGAGTAGCAGGCCTAAGGTTGACAATGCCGACCTGATTTGATCTGATAGACAATAGTCCAATTTGTTGATAGTTTAGAATGTGGTGTATCTCACATTGAATAAAAAGATTTAATTACTAATGAATAAAATTAATTTTTGTATTAATTTTATTTATATTTTAAATAATTATGTATAAAAAAAATAATTATCATATGACAAATGATCATAACTATTTGAATATAAATAGATTATTATTCATAAAGGTCATGATTATATAGAAGGTCATAACCATCTAAATAGAAGTTTATGTCTGTTCATTCATTATAAATAAATTTTTCAGTAAAATCATTTTCACTACTTTTGATTGGAGAGTTTAAGGTTTTGTTATATCCTAAAGGCATAATTACCTTTAAAAAAGTATTCTTCATGCTTTAAAGCTAAAATTTTTTTCTATTATTTCTCTTCTCTTATTTATTTTTTTTAACAATTTAAAAGCAATTATGAGAAATTTATATTTCGCATGAGGAAGATACAAAGAAAAAAATTAACATGATTTGGAGATCAATATTATAAAAGGTTCAATGTGTCAAAGGATTAATGTTTCTATGGATCAAAATGTTCATAAAGATCTATATTAGAGGTATGTATTTTATTTTTTGCATAATTGTTGGTAACAAGATTGAATGAATGAGATAAACACGCTAACAATTTATTTCATTAGTGTGTAAAGTCAAAACATAATATGTAAAATATTGATTACATTGCATAAGTTTATGCATATACTTGAATTGACTCCAAAATTGGGTTTAATGAGTATTATATTTATTTGAAAAATCGATGCTTATAAAGACTATGATGGGAAATAGCCTGAAAACATAAAAAAGAAAGATATGAATTGATTTACAACTAAAAGAATTATCACTTGTTATCGAGTTACGAATTAAATTAGGTTCTAATGGAATAGCCAATTGTTTAATTGTCATGTCTTGGTTATATATAGAACAGGCAAATTGTCCAATAGTTTCTATGAAAATAATCAGAAAGGAATTTACCATGAGAAATTAGATGTAAGTAGAGAATATCTGCAAAAAATAAGATTTGACTACAAGATTAGTTTTATTATTAAATTATGGCACCAAAATTGAGATAATAAGTTGAGTCAAGCTATTTGTATGATTCTATCTTTGTTAGTCGTTTATAAATAAAATGTTGATATATATATTTTAAAATTTATTATTGTTCAAATTTTGACTAGCATTTAATTTTCATGAAAACTAATTAAAATTAAATTAATATATGTGAATAATTATTATTAAGATAGGATGTTTCATGGATTAATTAGTGGATAATAAACCAAATAATGATTATTATAAAAAACATGGACAGTGTGATGTATTTTGTCTGCTGGGTATATTACACTAGAAATGAATTTACAAAATAAAATTTTATTGTGAACAATCACAAAGTGAAAGTTATAAAAAGCTATCAAAGAGTTAATCAATGGTTACAAAAAAGTATTGTTGCTTTTTGCATATGGGATATTGATTAAATGAAAAGGCATGCTATTAAAAAATATTGAAGCATTTATCAGTTACTAGCATTTTGAAGGATGCTCATCAATGTCTAATTAGGCATGTTTATAAATTAGAAAAGAACATGCAAATTCAATGTTCCAAAGGCACCAATATATGCATGTGTTTAATTTCATTTTGTGATGGCATGGAGAACATTGTTACAGTTTGCCATATATTATGAAAATAAACTGAATATGATATAATTTTTTTTCTTATACATATAAGAAAGATATGGACTATGGAGATAGAATGCCATCATCTAATTAACACATTATTGGTTAAAGATAATGGAGGTATTTTTACTTCTTGTATCCAAAAAAATGACCTTTTGTAGGCTGTTAAAATGAAAAGTGAACAAGTTTATAAGGTTTTCAATAATTTCATGACAATGGCAAGGATGTGGCTGGTTATATACCATATTAACATATGGGAATAGATAATAATATTAGTTTGTGAAAGCCGTAAGCCTTAAAGTTAGCCAATCAATGATTTAAACAATGCAAATTCATCACAAATTTTTACATGAAATATGAGTAAAACTCATATTATAATTATTGTTTATACTGTTTTATGAAAATGATTATTTGGATTCATGTTTCATGACTTGCATTGATATAGTGATCTATATATGAACATATTGGTCACCAAATGATTGTGAAAGTATTTGAAATTAGAGTTAAATATACTATGGACTCTTATTATATATAGGCATATTGGTCTTATGAGTAAAGTTTGAATTTATTATATATTCAAAAATGTTATGATCAATTAAAAGTGGTAAATAACAAAGATATATAGGCTAAACAATGGTGGAGAAACAAAATTCTCATAAAATTTTGAAATCAATTTTAGAGGTTCCAATAATCATGAACTTGGAATTTGCCATTGGGCAATTACTATATGCATTGAAAACTCATGATAAGATTTTAGATAGTTGGTTTTCATTAAAAGCTATCACTATAAATGAGATAACTTTAATAGCTAAATCTACATGATTTATAGGTATGAAGTGGATTACTATGGTTGGCTTAGAATAGCCATAAGCTAAAATTGATGCCACAATCTTGATCACATTGAGGTGATTTTTTTTTATGTCTATAGTCTAATTCATGGATTGTGCAAATGATTTATTATCTATCATTTTATATAATGAAAATTTTAAAGTATATTTACTTTAGAAGCCATGAGTGATTCAAAGATCTTGTGAATTTAAAAACTTTTATAATAGCAAAAAGAATGCTATCCATTTGGGTGATGAAAATGGTTTTGTTCATGGTAATAAAAAATTATTAATAGTATCCATGATGAAATAGATTCATATAAATATTTATAAATTGACATAAAAATCTTAAAATGAGAGTATAGAAATATGATTATATTTGAAATCTACTTATAGATATAAACTCTTATATCGAGTTAAAATATAAAAGTTTTGAAACTTTTTTTGAAATATTAAAATATCAGCTAGTTATCTTTCACTAAAAGTGGATTTGAAGGCCACTTATTTTAAAAAAATACCAAATAGTGAAAAGATAAATGAAATGACAACTTGATTAAGTATATATGATATCTTGATAATTGAATGAGATATTCTTTAATAAAAAAAATGCATAATTACACGTGGTGGGGTGATAAGAATCAAAAGAAATAAAAATTGTCACTATAGTGTTGTAAGATTATAATATAATTTTATGAGCAAATTATACAAGCTAATAAGTTTAAACACTTATTAAAGTAAAGTTATAAAAAGGTCTTTAAAAAATCTTAAAAGGACTAAAATCGTTTGGTTTATTCATTGAATTTATCCAATTATACTAAAAATATAATTGTATTAAAAATGTATAAAAGTATAGAAATAGAATTGTTGAAATTAATAAATATAGAGTTATGATCACAATCAAAACCAATTATTTCTTAAAATGATAAAAATGAAGCAAAATGTCTGGAGCATATAAATGATATGCAAAATAAAAATTTTGAACATATTAGCCTGAAGTGATTATATTAGAGATCAATCTCAAGTTGAGATAATTACCATAAAAGAAAATTGAATTCCAAGATATTTAGTTAGTAAAACTACAAGTAGAATGGATTTAAACCCTTATTATTAGATATCGATATGAGAACCCAACTTTGAATTAGTAACCTCTAATTACAAAGTTTAATGGGTAAAAATAAGTTATTTTGTCTATTAAACACTAATAAAATCTATTCAAATTTTAGAAACTAGTGTGATCTATTGTGTGTGGATGATGAGGTTTTATAGTCTTAATGAAATTTTAAATGTCTAAAGCAATGGAGATATAATGAAAACTTTACCTATATAAACATAGAAGTGGTGTCACTTCAACAAGAAGAATTGGGGTCTCTTTTGTAAATGTATGAATATGATAAGCACATAACCATAATAGTACTAAAAGCAGTTATAAACCTCTGACAAAAGAATAAATAAGTATTATGTGTTTTATATCTTCAATTCTAACACTAGGAGTTGAGGTTTTATCAGAAGATACCATCAACTTTGTTTGTATTCTAAGATATATATGCTAATTGAAAGTTTAAATCAAGAGATACCTCATTGTATTCATAATATTTATTTAGGTGAAAGGTAAAAATTAAGTACCAACATACTAAACTAGTAGGGGATTATTGGTAGTTTAGAATGTGATGCATCCTATATTGGATAGAAAATTTTAATTATTGATAAATAAAATTAATTTTTGTATTAATTTTATTCATATTTTAAATAATAATGTTTAAAAAGAAACAATTATCATATGAGAAATGATCATAACTATTTGAATATAAATAGATTATTATTTATAAAGTTCATGATTATACAAAAAGTTATAACTATCTGAATAGAAATTTATGTCTACTCATTCATTATAAATAAATCTTTCAGTAAAACTATTTTCACTACTTCTTATTAGAGAGTTTGAGACTTTGTTGCATCTTAAAAGCATAATTGTCTTTAAAAAAATATTTTTCACACCTTAAAGCTAAAATTATTTTCTATTATTTCTCTTCTCTTATTTAATTTTTTTTCTAACACAATTAAGGGTTAACAAACTAACATTCCCGTAGGAGAAAAATTGAACTGACAGAATTGACGAACTCCAAAACTTTAAGTTGACTCCACACGTCGGGTCATATTGAAATGACAGTTACATTTCCTTTGTTGATGAATCATCCTCTGAAAAAAAAAGAAAATCCATGATAATCTTATAAAATGCCCCTCACATACGCGTTGAAGCCAATAAGCCATGAGGGCCATATCAAAAGAAACCAGAAATCTGAAATGCCAGGACTAATCTTCCGTCTCCCAAAATATAGGAAGGAAAAGAACGCTGGACAGCTAAACCCTACAAGCAAACATTAATTGAAACTAAAGGAACTTATCATCTTCAGTAGTTTTGGGGGGCAATATATGCAAGCAATTCCTCGTCACAATCAAAATTTGCCATGTCTTCCTCTTTTAGGTTAACCCAAGCCTCTATTCCATCACAGGAACCGGTGTCCAGGAAAATAACTCCATTAGTGGAAGCAGAACCTACCAAAATAAGTTTCCGCACCATAATCAGCTTCATATAGGAAACCTACATAAACCAGTGAAACTAAAGATAATTGTCCCCTTTTAGTGGGACTTTCAAGTAGTCGAAGTGATTCTGTCCATCTTCTCGTATTTTTATTGACAATATGTAATTTTTTATTATAATTAAATAATTATAAAATTATCTTGTTGGATTGAATTAAGTTAATTTAAACTTAAAATTTGCTACCCAAACTCAGTTTTACTCTAGTTAAGCACACACAAATCTAAAATAAAGTCGGGACCTTAAAAAATTCGTGAGCCAGGTTTGATCTTTGAACACTAGGCTCATGCTAATCATGAAATCAGAATTTAATTAATAAACATAAGAATATTATAATAATATTTTAAATTAAATTAAAATAAAAATTTATTATTTACTAAAATACTAATAATAATTTTGAATAAAATCAAACTTGAATTTAAAAATTTTAGCTCAAAATAAAACCTGATCGAGCTTAAGGGTACGGGGCAAGTGGGTGACTTTTGAATAGTTCTATGGACAATGAGTGAATGCCAATTATCAAATGTGTAGAAGTTTTTTTGTTCGAATTCTCATTTTACATATTTTAAAAAAAAAATTTTAACCATTAGAGAAAAGGTTAAAGATTAAATGTGTAGAATTTAGACGAAAAGCAAGTTGTCTTGTCCACTAGTGTAACAAAATAGTAATTTTTTTTGCAATTTGAGTTCTTTAAAGTATCAAAACTGATAAAAAAAATTGACCAAGTTTAAAAATAAAAATTTAAGCTAGTAAAGAATGCAATTCATTTTTTTTTTTCCAACAAGCCATGATAGAGATAAAAAAATATTACAAATATTAAAATTTGAATCTTACATCTTAATTCTTAAAGATAATTGAATGAATGAAGCTAAACTCCATATTCAATTCGAACTCTTTCTAACCCATTAATCCTGATCCATCTCCCAAAATACTAATAGATATGAAAATAAAACTAGTTGGACAGCTAAAAAATGTAGAATCAGTCAAACGTTAATTTAAACCAGTGGTTTAGCAAAGACAGAGCACAGCATACATTGTAAGCTTGGACACAAACAGTGGAAGTTATCATCTTTACTACTACAAGCTTTTTGGAGCATTGACATATGCAAGAAATTCCTCGTCAGAATCAAATTTTGCCATGTCTTCCTCCTTTAGGCTAACCCAAGCCTCTATTCCATTGCAAGCTGCGGTGTCCAAGAAAGTAACAACGTTATTGATGTCTCGAGCGGCGGAACCTACCCAAATGGGTTTCCCCCAACCGAAATCAGCTTCGTATGCAGGAAACCTGCATAAACTAGTGAAAGAGATGGTTAGCATCTCTGCTTTGGCATAAATTGCAGCCGTCTCTCTGATAGAGTCCAAGTGATTATATCCATCTTGGATCTTCTTCACGCACTCCTTGTTGATTTTTTTTATGGAGTCTTTCATTTGAGTAACGAGGTTATGACAACTTTCTCCAGTACCGTCCATGGATGGAAATGTCATTGCAAAGCTATAAAGATTCCCAAAAGAATATTCTGGCTGAGGCGGGTCAATTCTTGTACGTAAATTTATCATGTGAACAATTGAGCACAACGTATCAGGTCTTGATCTTACCTCAGTAGCGGTAACAAAACGGCTCCAGATGAAAGCTGATAAGGCCTCAATGCGAGTTGGACGTGTTTGATTTCCGAAGCGTGAATTATCGGCATATTTTTCTCTGATTTCCTCTATTTTGGAGGCAGTAAACACAAACCTTTTTGTTACAATTTGTTCTTTTGTTTGGCTAATGCTTGGTTTAAATCCTGAAAGGTCCCGTGGTGGGAAAAGCGAGGCTGAAACAAATTCAGGAGCCACTAACTTCCTCTCCCCACGAGCTATGGCAGCCCACATGTTCACAAACGTGAAAAATGAAAGGGCATCTCCGATTTTGTGAGAAATGCACACACCAATCCCTATTCCTCCACAGTCAAAAATGTTGAATTGAATTCCTAGGGGAATTTCGTTGGCATCATGTAGTTTAAATGGAAGTAATTTGTTAATTTCACAAGGAACAGGATTTTTTATGACATCTGAAAGTTGGCACTTAACTCGGGCTTCCAAAAAGGGTATGCCCTCATCATTGCAATCCACAAACAACTGGTTTTCCATAATCCGTCCTGCTAAAGGGTAGAAATAGGTTAAGGCATTGGAAATGGAGTGCTTGAGCTTGTCAGAAGTATGGATTTTGTTGGCTTGGGTATCACATATTGCCGGGTAGAAAAGGACCAAGGGGTTATAAATTGTGAGAGTCAATTGATCAAGGAAAGAAAGTTGGTAGCGGCGAAGCCGGTCGGGGGTAGGAGAGGATGGCTTGACAATGTAATTGGATATCACCGCAACCTCAAGCTTCATTGCTGTACGTAAAGCTAGACTGGTAAATGTAAATGGCCAGATGGTTTTTTTTTTTTTTTTCAAATAAAGTTTTTGTGTTTCCTAATGGCCAGTGCCATCACACCTTATATAGAGCTCGTAAAGACGGGGAGGAACATGCACAAAATTCATGTTATCTGCTAGTAAAATATTGAAAGTTTATTTATTTTTTTTAAAATTTTTGATATCTTCTAATAACAAAATAAAAAAAAAAGGAATAATTCTGACCTAATCAAATCTGAAATTAATCTTACAATTTATGCTTGTCATTTGACATATATATATATTTGATTTTTTTAAATGCTAAGATTAATTTATATTGTTGTAAAATTAAAGATTTTATACTTTTTTAATTATTAATTTAAATAAATTTAAGAAATAAAAAAGACAAATTTAAAAAAATAGTTTAATCTTATCTTTTAGATTTATTGAAATCAATAATTAAAAAAATTAAAAAAATAATTTTTTTATGTAACTAGATTTTTTTAAGATATACTAATATTTGTTGTTTTTCTTATTCAATAATAATTAATGATTCTAGAATTTCTATTTTGAATTTACATACGACAAATGCCAACCAATAATTCATGCTATACATAATATATATCTACTACTTTGACTTCTGATTAGCTTTAATAAGAAGCAAGTGGGATTTAATACGATTAATATTTGCTTTGCCGGATGGGCATTGAAAGAGTACAGGTGAAAAATCAACAATGGGAAATATTCGTTTTGACTTTTGGCGTTTAACTTCTTTGTTTCGTTTGTATGATACATCTAAAGATGATATTTGTTTCTTTTTTTATTCCATGTCTTTGTTGGTGTCCGATAACTTGTAAGGAGAAACAAGCTTTTTTTCCGATCTATGCCTCCTGCCAGTCTCTATCCTTCAACTCCTTATATTATTTTATCATCTCTTCTTCTAATCTTAACGTTAATAATTATCATGTGATTTCATACTCCAGTTTTAGTTTATAACCTCACGGGAAGTATTTTGCCTATAATTTTTTTACTATAATATTATAACTATTTAATTATAATAAAAAAATTATATAATGATTCATTATCTACAAGTGTGAGTTTCATATAAAAATTAAATAATTTTCACATAATTTTAAATTATGATTGATTAATTATATTATAATTATTATAGATAATATATTCTCTAATCTCATACATCTAATTATAAAAAAGAAACCCAACTAGCAAAAAAAATATAATATTTAATTCAATCAATTCATATAATTATTTTTAAAAAATAATATTCAATAAATTTAAAATTAAAATATCAAATTCTACAATTTTCTCTTATTTTCAAATTATAACTTAAAAACAAAAACAAAAAACTGAAGATAAGTGAGATGGACATCAAGAAAATGGCACGGGTGATGGGTTCAAACACGCAATTAATTAATTACAGGTAAGACCAACCACAGCCCAGGGGACCCACCATATTGTGTATTTCTAGAAGGCATGGAGGTCATGCCATGTTGAAAACTGAATAATCAAAGAAGAAGCGTCCAAGATTCACGAAATTAATTATGGAAATTTTTCAATACCTTAGTTAATTTCACAATAGTAATTAAACCGTGAATAAATCCTATAAAATCTTGATTATTTGGATTTTTGCTATTTGAAGGACCTGGTTCCTTTTGGATCCTTTCTTTTACTGTTATTATGCCAGTAGTATTGAAAGTATATCAACTACAATTATTATAATATAATTATTTATTTATAATTTAATATTGTATAAGATTCATCAAAAAATTATGCAATTCTCACACTTTTAAATTATGGATTCTTATATAATTTTTTATTATTATTTGTGTTGAGCTTGATATGAAAAGTGAATACTTAAAATCATAAAGATGGAGATCAATTAGAAGAAAAGATCGAAAGTGTTTATGATATTTATATTCGGACACTCGAATCAGCATTCAAAAAAAAAAAAAAAAAAAAAGAGATAAGAAAGAGGAAAAAAAAAATGCTACATGGGGATTTCCTGAGATTTTGTCCCTTCACATGGAATTAAAAAGGAGTATTTATAACTCTATATAAGGGGAGTGGTCAGGTCGGAAGGACCACTTGGATGAACTGACGGTTGATCTAACGTGAAACAACCCATGGCGACATGGTTGGCGTGTCCCTAATGTTATTGAGACACATTAGCATGGTCATTCTTTTATCAGGTGGGACATTGTTTTGGCAATGCTGAGATCAATTCCGAGAAATAAGTTTAGGGTGGTGTATCAATTTAGACCAAATGTCAAAAAAGCCCCTTGAACTTTGCTAATTCACCCTCTACAATGAAAGAATTAGCTTGCCCTTTGAACCTCCAGATATTCTCCTCAGTGGTAATTGACTAATTGTAAAGTTAAAAAAAATTATAGGTAAAGTGTCACTTTTGTCTTGGCCTATTAAAATTTCTTGCTTATGTATTTTTTTATAGTGAGGCGAGAAGTGATATAATTTAGTTATAATGAATTACAAATGCAAAAATTACATAATTTGTCAATTTGCATACAAGAAAGAATTTTTTACAGCAGCATAGGATAAATCCTTTATCCTATAACATACAAAATTCAGTACTATATTCATTTGTTCCACGCCCTTTCTTACCATACTTCTTGTTGCAATAAAAGTTATAACGAGACAACCTTATAGCTTTTAGTTATTAAGTGACATGGCATGGGCCAACCGCATTGGGCTTATTAAATATGTTTAACTTAGTAATTGCGCTTGTGGAATAGGTTTATGTTTATCAACATATGTTCTAAATAATTATGTTTAACTTAAATATATATCTTCATAGCAATTGCACAATAACAGATTATAATTGTTTAAATAGAAAAGGTTATTTAAATCTATTTATTAATTATAAAATGATTTTTACCCAATCATTTTTTTTAATTTTTAATTTTTTATTTGAATTGAGAGTTTGAAATTTTTTATATCTCGTAGATACAATAAACTTTAAAAAAATGTTATCATAATGATTTTTCGTTCAGGGAACTCAATCGTTAGATTTTGTGAAAATTTTCGGAGTTGTCATCAATATTTTTATAGGGTGTGATTAGCTATCCAAAATATCATCTTTTAGTAAAAATCTTAAAATTAATTAAGAATTACTAAAAGAAGTTTAAGTCTATAAAATCAAAGTTAGGTCTGGGAAGTTACGGTTATGAGTAAGGAAGGTATTAACATCCTCACGTCACCCGTTCAAAAAACGATACCAATTAAACATACGACATCCTATAATTTTGATATCATGATTTTTTTTATTTAAGTTTAACTTCTTAAAAGTTATTTTAAACCATTTTTCTCTATTACGAAATTAACATTATTATTATTATTTCGTATTCTATAAATTCTCCAACGCTTTCGTGAAATTTATAGAAAATCACTATTTATAAAATATTTTGAGAAAATTAACCATTCACAAAATTCTCAAAATTTCGTCATAAAATATTTTATTTATTTATTTTAAAAAAGATTTTAGGAACATCCTAACTTTTTGATGAATTCTTAAAATTTTGAATAAATTTTAAAATTATCCCGACTCTTCGATGAAATCCTAAGAATTTTGAATAAGTTTTAGGATCATTTCAAGTTTTTGACAAGTTCCTAAATAAAATCATTTTTTATTATAATTAAAAGAATTTATTAATTAATTTTTATTATGATTATTTTTAAAAAATTTATTATTTATTCTTTAATTATATTTTTTTATAAAAAAAATTTAGATTATCTCGACTTACTGATGAAATCTAAATATTAATCTCTTGTTTAAAGAAAATTGAACTTTTTTAATTTTCTATATTTTTTAAAAAATTCAAAATATCAAATATTATTAATTTTATTTATTATTGTTTTACATTGTTTAAATCAATTTTTATTTTAGTGAAAATAATTTTGGGTTATCCCAACTCCATGGTGAAATTCAAAAAATTATTTTTAATTGCAATACTTAAAGAAAATTAAACTCGTTTAACTTTCTCTAAATATTGTATTTAAAAGATTCATTTAAACAATTTATTTTTTATTATCATTTTTTATATTTTTTTAGTTTTAGCAAACATTATTTTTTTAAATTATCCCAACACTTTGGAGAAATTTTAATAATATTTTTTGCTTGTAATAGAATTTATTTTCTTTAAATAGTTATTATTATTAAATTTTTTATTTATATATTTTTTTAGGTCTTTATTTAATTTCAGTTTCATTTTTATTCTATTCTATTTATTTATTTTTTAAAAAATAAAAATTATTACTAGTAATAATATAAAATAACAATAATGTTATATTTAAAAAAGCATTAAAAAATCAACATAAAAAAATCAAAATCAAAATCAAAATGGAAAATAAAAAGAAAAAGAAAAGGAAAAACCTACGAAACGGGTCAGGTTGGCCCACGTGTCGGCGCCTGGATCTTACGCGGGTCGGGTCCAGTTCAAACGCCTAAAACGACGTCGTTTCGGAGGGCCTATAAAAGGCCTATTTCAAAATTTTTTTATTTTTTCTTTCCCCTCTCTCTCTCTACCTCAGAGCCCCTCTCTCTAAAATCCCAGCACCCCTACCGGCCATCGTGATAACCCAGTTTCCAACCGTCGTCACCGTGCACCGGTGGTCGAAAACTTCAACGGCACCGAAAAATTTAAACTTTTTCAGATTTCGATGCCGAAAAATTCAACAGTCGCTGAAAAATTTAAACTTTTTCATTTTTCGACGACTTAAAAAAATTTTCAAAAATTCTCAAAAATTCTCCAAATGATTCTTTTCACTTTCTAAACGCTTTTCTAAGCCTAGATTTTTCAAAAAAAATCTCAAACTTGCTAAATCTCAAATTTTATTCTCAGGAAAAAAACTTTTTTGTTTTTTGCTAGTTCCTCAAAAAGGACTATGATTTTTTTTTTTTTTATTGTGTGTTTCCTTTTTTCCTTATTCTCTGTGTCTTTTTCTCAGAACTTAGCTCTATTTATAGGGCTTGAAATCCTAGATCTCCTTAGATTTTTTTATGAAAAATTTAGAT